CGCTCTTCAACTTTTCTGAAGTCTTATGTTTTTTAAAGAGTAGAAAATACTGTTGTCTTAGTAGGAGGTGTAAATATCCTGTCTCTCTTTTCTAGTGCCTATCTTCATGTGATATTTATTTACCAAATCTATTTATTTACCAAATCTACTAGCATAGTGTCTTGAATTCTTAAATTTCATGACTATGTGAATCAAAATTGAGGGATAGATATTGTCAAAAGTGATGTTTTAGATGACAATTCTGTTACGAGCAGTTATTAGTATCTAAGTGAGCTCCTTCCACAGCATGATGACATAAAGGAACAAATTCTACGGTACGTTGCATAAAAAAAAATGACTGAGCTTGTGTGCACTAAATTACAGAATTCATGTCTAACAGAAAACACTCACGAAAAGAAGAATGCCGTATGAGTCTTCTTCTTCCACACGACATTTATATGTTAATTCTGCCTTATCTTTTTTTATTCAGAACCCATTTTTAAATTCTGGAACTTTAATCTTTATATTGATCCAACAGAAAAAAAACCCACCAAACAAAAACCAGTGCTGTTTGTATGAAATTCAGACTACTCTTTGGACAAAATGAAGTTTTACAGACAGCACTGCAACTTTTCTGTACTAAGTGTAGAGTAAGAAGAAGTAACAGTTGTTTCTGCAACCTTGTTTGTATCTCTGTTGTCTCATTTTAGTAAGAACAGCTTTACTAGCCATTATTGGATTTATGCCAACCAAAGGTAAAGGGGCAATAGGATCTCTAGATTATACACCGGAAGAAAGAAGAGCTCTTGCAAAGAAGTAAGCACTAAGTTTGTTACTGTATGTACATACATATACACTGTACATGTACTGTCTTTTAGGGTAAAACATTGAGTAGAAAGTACATCACTTCAATCTGTTTCTTGCATTTACTCCAAATATTTAAAAAGTTCTATGCCTTGTATGTGTTTTTTTTTCCCCTGAACATTGTGCAAACTCAGAACTTACAGTCAAATGAAATACTTTGAGAGGGCTGTGATCCTTCCAGCATTGTGTGGTCAAATTAGAGGTTTGTCTGAATTTCAGGCTTAGAGATGTAATTACACTGTGATATAGTGATAATTGCAGTGTGGAGGAAAAATTAATACAGTGGAATTTATAGTCAGTGTAAGTGGGGAGGAAAGCAACCAAAACAATGATGCATCATTTCCCTTCAGTAATTAATAATAATGGAACAACATCAGAAAAATCTGAAGCAACTGCTTCTGAATTATTTTTAGGAAATTAACTTAAAATTAGATCTGTGACTGTGATGAAATTATTAGCTTAGCGGACAAGGGAAAGAAGTGGATGTAGTTTATCTTGACTTTAGCAAGGCTTCTCTGGTGCTGTCTTCACAGCCATCCTCAGAGAGAAACTCAGGAAGCACAGCCAAGGTAAGTGGGGACAGTGAGGTGGATTAAGAATGGGCTGAGCTGCCCGGCTCAAAGGATTGGGGTAAGCAGCACAGAGTCCAGCTGCAGGCTGGTCACTGCTGTCGTACTCCAGGGGTGAATACTGGGGGCAGAGCTATTCAGTGGCATTAATGACCTGGATGATGGGGTCAGCAAGTTTGCAGACGATAAAAAACTGGGAGGAGTGGCTGATGTACCAGAAAGTTATGCTGCCATCCAGAGGAACCTCAGTGGGCTGGAGGAACCTCATCAACCTCAACAAAGAGAAAAGCCAAGTCCTGCCCCTGGGGAGGAATAATTCTAGCTGACCAGCTGGAAAGGAGCTTGGAAGGCGAGGACCTGGGAGTCCCGGTGGACACCAAGCTGATCATGAGGCAGCAGTGTGCCCTTGCAGCAAAGAAGGTGAATGGTATCCTGGGCTGCATTAGGAAGAGCATTGCCAGCAGGTCAAGTGCAGTGATCCTTCCTCTGTACTCTGCACTGCTGAGACACCTGGAGAGGGACTGTGTTCAGGTCAGGGTGCAAGAAAGATCCAGGCTTACTGGAGTGAATGCAGTGCAATACCATGAAGGTGATTGAGGGGCTGGAAGATGTTTCATACAAGGAGAGGCTAAGAGAGCTGAGAGGGTTCAGCCTGGAGAAGAGAAGGCTCAGGGGATCTTATCCACGTGTACAAATACCTGAAAGGAAGGTCTAAAGAAAGCAGAGACAGGCTCTTCTCAGTGGCATCCAGTGATGGGACGAGGCAATGGGCACAAACTGAAACCCCTCAAATTTAATCTGAATGCAAGGAAACACTTTTTTTTACTGTGAAGATGGTCAAAGCAATAGCCTAGGTTGCCCGGAGAGGTGGTGGAATCTCTGTCCTTGGAGACCTGAAACAGACCTGAGCAATGTGCGCTGCTTGACCCTGCTTTGAGCAAGAAGAGTGGACAAAATGATCTCCAGATGTCCTTCCCAGCCTCAACTATTCTGTGATTATCTTTAAATGAAATCTTATACCTGTGGGGATTTTTTAATATTTCTCCTTTCCCCATATGGGAAGGAGAAGGTGCTTAAAAGACCATATCCCTATGTTATAAGCAAAGTTAATGTATTCCAAATTGTAACTAGTACCTTATTTTGCGGGCAGATGTGAGCTTACTCTGCCCGTACTCTGAGCAAATTGGAAGCTGCAACTTTCCTGTTAGCATGGCACTGAGTCAAAGCTAATAAACCCTGCTGAGAAGGAGGGTTTAGTAGGTTGGTCTTGATAGTACACTATCAAGAATGTGGTTTCTCACTGGCTTGGACAGCTGCCTGCAGTGTGCCCTATAGCCAAATTATGTGCAAGAGAGGAAAGGTAATGCTCCTGCAGAAGCTGAAGTTCCTGGGTTCGAGGTGCAAGCTCCTGAGTCCAATTTAATATTTGTAATAGTAGATCTTTATGATTTACAATTTTAATTTGCTGCATATATAAAGTAAGTTTTTTTAAATGGTAACAGATTATTAATAAATAAATTATTAATAAAGTATAGATAATAGCAATATACAAGGCAGTTGTTGGCATTTTCCTAAATGACATGAGAGAATATGTATTTGTAGCATAGATAACTTTCAGTGTATTTTTAAGATCGTGTGATGGGGGGAAGTACTTTAAGCTACTGGTTTTGACACCACCTGTCTTTCTGTAGATTGTTTTGCAAATAGTTTGTTTAAACAAGCACATGAGGACATGATGAGAACGTGCTATTCTGAGCGCTCTCATTTGTGGCCAGGTCACAAGACTTCTGTTGTGAAATGTGTGGCACATCTATGAGGACAGCCCTCTTACCACTGACATCCGGAAGCGTGTCAAGCCAGGCAGACAAGGAGGCTAAAGAACTTGCCAGGCAAATCAGCTTCAAGGTGAAGTCACTGTTTAAACTTTTGTCTCTGTTGTATAGAATTTATATATATGTACATATAGATAGAAGAAAAGCTTGTATATTGTGGAAACATTTGTCATTTCATAAACCTTCATCAATCACTATGCGGAAACCTGGTTTTCTAGGACAGGTTGAAAGAGGAAAAACTGGATCTCTGTGTGTCAATTAATAAATTGTGCCTCTCAAGCACTGATCAATTAGTTTTAATTTCTGTGGTGAGCACTGCAGTAAGAACTGCGTAACTATGTTGCTTTTACTTCCACGTTTTCAGTCACTAATAACTTGATTAAATTCTCCAGAATTAGTCTTATAGAAGTGTTAGGAAAGTTTGGGCAAAGCTAACCTAAATTTTTTCCCTTTGATTTTTTTTTTCTCCTTTTGGCTTATGGAAGGAATAAAAGATATTCCTACTGAAAAAAATGGTTGCAAAGTCTTTTGAACTACTCTGCAGCTGAAGATACTGAAAGTTGAACTCTGGTATGGAAGTTGCTGTCACCCAAAAATGTGTCCTCTAGCTTGTGTTTCAATGAAAGTAAGGTTTGTTTAGCCAAGTATGTGCCTTAAAAATCGCATGTCTTGCATGCACAGTGTTGTTTTTCACTGTTTTCCACTAAAATCTTAAATCAGCCACTAAGGAAGACTACTGTGCACAAGGCCAGGGAACTACAGGACTATGTTACAGTAATGTGGCGTTCATGCAGAATACATCCTCACTAAGGTCGTGTATGCTAATATGTCTCCTTTTATCACCAGTGTTCTCCTAACACTGTCCTAAAGACAACCATTATTTTTTTTGTGTGCCATGAGAGTAAAAATTGCCTCCTACTGAGCATTACTGCCAGTTTTGCAGGACCTGCATATTCCTGTGCCATCTCACATCTAGATATGTTGATGTGACTGGGTCTGTGTGTAATAATGCTTATGATTAAAACATCTCAAAATATTTTACAAAGATGAGATACAGGGACAGAGTTTTAAAGCTGAGCTACTTGGATAAGAAATGGACTGCCTGCTCCTGTTTGGTTTTATTACAATATATAAGGGTTAAAAAGTGTATGATAAACTTTTATTTAAGAACTGCTAATCTTTGTCACAGAAATTCTAGAAATATCACAGTATTTTTTTTAACTTTAAAATTTCATACCTTTTTCAGTTTTAAAATGAGACTTGGACATAAGTTTCTAAAGAATATTGGTGCGGTCCATGTATCCATGTACTTAACTTCACCTCCTAAGAGCACGTACTCAGCAGGGGAAAAGTTAACTAAAGCCTCAGGTTTCTACAGCCTTTTCCAATCCATTGTGGGTTTTTTACAAGGTACATCAATCAGGTCCTCTGGTTGCACCTTCCCTCCCTTTCTCATATCAGATTTTAGGGATTGAATTTTTTAGAGCTTCCTCCTTCTCTGCTTTGCTTGACTTTATTACTGTTTGTTTGATGGATGTTAGGCTGAGACATTCTATTGATGTGTTTGTAGTAAATGAATTGTATTAATTACTAGCAGGGAATATGAAAATCTTTAATCTTCTGGATATATTCCATGTCAATTCATGAGGTAAGATTTAACATCAGGTTGCTGACTGAGTGTATCATTTGAGAGAGCCTCTTTGCTAGCAAACTGTTAGCAATCTCTGCTTTATTTTGATCCTTAAAGAAGAGTTTTCCCAACTTTTTTTAGATGATTGTGGGATTTTACTTCATACCAGCCTTAAGCAAAAGGGTAACTTTAAAAAAAACCCCATGTGTGGTATTAAGAAAGGAATATAAATTCAGGATAAAAAAAATAACAAACCACATTTTCTCATCACAGTTTTCCTGCTTCTGTGAGCCTCCACCTTTGTTCCTGTCTGTTTTAATAGAAAATTAATTTTTTTTAATCAGCTTTACATTGACTTGCAATTTGGTCTGTGCATTTTGGGTGTTACATACCATAAACTCCATTCCACTTAAAAGAAGAAAGAGAAGATAGATTACTAATAACGTAGGCATTACTGTAGAACAGTATGGTTTATCTACGTGTTTCTACTACAAGGCATGTTTTGCATTAAAATTAATTCCCTGCTCACCTTATTCTTATGTTTAAATATGTTGATCTTTCCTTGATGTCTATGTTCTCCCCAGCTTTTCTGGAAGCAGAGGTAAGGGCTGGAGAAAAGATAGACAAGAAAAGATATTTCGGTTTTGGGAATTTTCAAGTGCTTTATTTTTTTTCAATATCTGATTGCAGTTTAGTATTCTAGACTCAGTACTTTCATACACTACAAAATGTGCATTTCATTCATTTTAGTGTATGTGGTTTATAAAGATGAACAGTAAAGCTGAAATGAGTTGCTCTTGGAAGAAGCAGAAGTATGAAAAGCAGCGTACTTACAGCTGAACATTGGAAAGGAAGATTCACCCTGTGGGTTGTCAGATCCTGGAGCAGGCTACTCAGGGGCTGTGTTGCTTCATTGCTGGTGCACATTTGGGTCATGACTTGTCCTGTTTACTACTAGAGTTCATAATAGTCAAGTGCAAAAGGAAAGCAATGTTGTTAGATAAAGATTTTTAAATCTTACATTCATCTTTAGGTTGTTTCAGTGACATATTTTTCAGATTCTTTTGAGTTAATATACATTGAGAAACAGGGAATTTACTTTCCTCACATAAAATAGTATAATGAAAAATACTGTTATCTTGTGATCTTATCAGCTTGCTATCACCATAACTGGTTGTTTTCTAATACACTGTTTGTATTCCATAAAAATTTATCTGGTAATGACATTTTAAAAAATATGTATAAATTTTAAAGTGTTTCTGTTCAGGACTGCGATGTTATGTCACTTTCCATCCCCAAGGAATTATTGCAGGCCCATATATTTTTTTTAACAAGAGGTTTGTTCATGATCTTCTACATGTCCCTACTGATCTCTTGTCTCAAATTATCATAAGCATGAAACCTAAATTCTGAGAGTTGATGCTTATTAGACATTTTATAAATCTGAACAAAAGCAGTATTATAGGACTTGTATTTTTTCGTTTGCTCTGCCAGTGCTGAAATTTAAACACTGGAAACTGGTGTGTGCATGGCTGACACAGAGTAGTGCTGTGCACATACTCCCACTCTGGCAGCTTCGGTACTAGAACCAGAATAGCCCCATTAAATTAGCACTTAACGGAAGCTAATTAGTCCTGCTGAGAAACGAGCTATATTAGTTCACTTGTAACAGCAGTCATCAACATTCACTTATAGGACATGAGAAACACAAGTTTTTAAAAATTATGTTATTTCTGGTATAATGTTGTCCTGGATCTTCTGAAGAACTTTCTTTTTTGCTCTATACGTCTGTGTACTATTTGAATGCTATACCTGTTGTTATATGCAAACAAACATAAAACTGTTTATTAAACTGATGTTTGCACATTTATAGTCCTATTTCTAAAGAATGATAATTTCTTAAATCTGTTGGTTTGTAATTGAATTGCAGTTGTCGTACTTGATCATTGCATTTTAGTAAGTCTCATATTCTCCATACATTAAAATAGACATGCCAAAACAAGCCGAATCTTCTTAGAGCGATTCTGATCTTGTTTTTGAAGCATAGGTATGTACTCCTTGTAGGCAGAAGTCAATTCATCGAGGAAGTCTGATGCTGGACCCTCAAACGCGTCAGGATTGAACCGCTCCGCCGCTTCACATGAGTCCCAGCAGGGTGCTGCAGCTCGAGCATTCCAGGACCCAAAAAGTGCAACGGTATGGCCTGTCTTTGAGCTTTATCAGTGCAGGTACAAGCACAGTCTGAGCATAAGATCAGTACTACAGAGCTGATTGGAGGCTTCATTCAGAGTATGTAGTTCATACGTATCTTCTAGAACTCCTCCATACTTTTATATAAGCTCTGTGTATAAACTTTAGCAAATAGTATGCTGAATTGCTTTCAGAAATAGTGACCTCTTTGCTATCACTCCCTTCTCTTAAAAAAAATAATGTTCTGTTAACACTGCTTGTTCCCAGTAGTGCCATTAATATACGGCTTAACAGTTCATTAAAATAGTGTGGTGTCTGAAGTACTCCAGTTCACTGTCTGCATCATGGGTTTCTGCAATAGAATTCTTAGCCAGAGGCAAAAAATGTTTTGGTGGTAATTTGTAGCTTTTAAATATTAAGGATATCTTCTTGTTTTGTATGACCTCTTAAGTAAATCTGACTAAAATATTCTTACATTTGAAGTATGACACTTATTTTTTAAATCCTGCTAGGTGTAAAGCTTACATAATGGTTTCGGAAGTGACCAAGGCCTGGTAGTGGGCCAAGGCAGCTGCTGTTGTGACTGTGGCAAATGCAATCTAAATTTACTGATAAATTGCAGGCAAATCCCAGCTAAGCTGTCTTTTTTAGAGAGGATGGGGCTGCGGGCCGGTTAAAAAAACTAACACACGTCAAATAACGTCAGACCATCTGTTGCGTGTTTGCAACATATTTTCAAGCTATGTAGAAATATAAACATGCTAATAGCATACTTTTTCCCCCAATAAGGATTTTTCCAGATTTTTCTGGATTTAATAAACCATTTTATTTTATTCTTCTTATTACAAATCCTGGCTAATATAGTAGAACTAGCCAAGATACCAAGGCATTGCTTACGTTGTCTTGAGGGAAAAAAGAGACCGATCTTTTCTTATTAATCCAATTTCTAAGAAATTTGTTTTAAACAATTATGCTGATTTAATAGGGAATGATTAATATTCAGCAGAAGAGTTCCATGAGAAATGAGACCTTTAAACATATAGATGTATGTAAAGATACTTCTATGTGATGAACTGTGACTGATGAAAAGTGGATTCATGCTTGGAGGGCTCAGACCGTCACACATGATTGTTAGACAGAGTTCAAAGCAATACCCGTGTTTCTGAGCTGCCACATTTTGAGCGTTAGGAATTTTGTGAAGCCATTGTGGAGTGAAAACTTCCAGCCACACAGTGGAAGAAAGAAATGTGTAACAAATAAAGAACTGGAGCTGGGTTTTTTTGTGTTCTTTTTCATTGAAAGTTAATAGAAGTCTTCTCAAAGTAGGGGGCTGGAGGTCTTGATCTGCTAATAGGAGTGACAGACTGTCCAAGCACACCTCAGACCCTTTATACTCAGCTGGGCTCCTTGCATGTGTAAAATCAGTTTGTTGGGTTAGTTCTTCTTGTGTAAAGACCTAATTTTTCCTTACGAAGTTGTGTTTGATGTGGGCAGCATCAAAACTATTTTTTTCCTTGGGTTAAGTGTTTACCACTTACTCTACAAATATCTGTTTAATTAAAAACTATTGTAGAAAATTTGCTGTTGTGAACTTGAAATTTATGCCTTTTGAGAATAAAAAGGGCAAAGATAGACCAAATGTTGAATCCTGGTATTA